ACAACAACAGATCATTATGTTTATGCTACTGAATATTGAATCTGTTAACCAGATTTAGAATATGCAGTGGGGGAGGAGGAAGCAGAAGATGACAAAGGGCTTCCCCCCCCCCCTTAGATATATGACTTTAATATCTGTCGGTTCCTCTTTTGATGAAGAATGGGAAAGGGAGCATTAGAACTAGTAATAGAGCCAGCATTAATTAAACTTTAATATATTAATGTAAGATCTCTTTAGGCTTGCAGGCTTGGACAATTTTCTTTCTTCTTCTTTCTGGCTGGACCTGCTCCCAAATTTTCAATGCCCTGCTGTATTCAAGTGGCATGATACCAGAGGCAAACTACTAGAAACCTCACTGCCACTATATTTACAGGAACTAATTAGCCATTTAGACTGAAGCCTCTGCTGTATTGGTATAAATTCGACAGCAAATTCTATGACTCAGAAGTGCTTTTACATTGATTGCATTACATTGATTATTGCATTATAACATTTTTTGCATGCATAAGCATCTTAACTGGTTTATTTAGTCTCTCTGCTTCTCCTCCCACAGAGAGCCACAAAAGCTTTCACCCTGGATCAGTTATTCAGATTTCAAGGTCTACTGTAAGAAACAGCTACACAGCAATGACAATAGTAGCTAGGAAGATGCTGATTTTATAGGGTAGGTCTTTGTGACACAGAGCGTATGGGTCACAGTTTGTCCCATTTTGCTTCCCTACTCTATCAAAGCAACATCTTCCTAGCCATTATTGCCACTGCTATATAGCTATGTTTTGGAACAATCCACTACATCTGCAGCCTACGGACTACTCAGTCCATTCCGCATCTCCAGTTTATTACTCATCCTGGGATGCATAAATAGGGGAATCTTGAGTGGGAGTTGAGTGGGTTATTTTACCTCTGTATTTGACACTGCCAGAATACTATGTCCAGTGCTGGTGCCCACAATCCAAGGAGGAGGTTGATAAATTGGAGAAGGTTCAGAGAAGAGCCATAAGAATGATTAAAGAATTAGAAAACATGCCTTATTGTGATGAGCTAAACAGATGGAGCTCTTTGAGTCTAACGGAGAGAAGCTTAAAGGGGTAACTTGATCACAGTCTGTAAGTACCTTCATGGCTAACAAATATTTAACAACAGGGCTCTTCGATCTAGCAGAGAAAGATATGATACAATCCAGTGGCTAGAAGTTGAAGCTAGATAAATTCACACGGGTAATAAGGTGTACATTTTTAATGGTAAGAGTAATTAATCATTGGAACAATTTACCAAGGGTTATTGTGAATTCTCCATCACTGGCAATTTTAAAATCAAGATTGGATGTTTTCTTAAAAGGTCTGTTCTAGGAATTGTTTTGGGGAAATTCTGTGGCCTGGGTTATATGGGGGGAGGGTGGTGGGGGGGAAGCGGGGGTCTGCCTAGATGATCACAGTGGTCCCTTCTGGCCTTGGAATCTATGAATCCAGGGGAATCCCATCCCTGCACTCTAATACAACTATCTCCATGTATATTAAAGTTTAATTACAGTAGAAGAGGGCCTTTCCATAAGAGCTCCACTCCCCACCAGCAGCTCTGTGGGTTCCAGCTCTATGTCCCAATCCTTGAAGCTCTACCCATCCTCCGAATCAGTTGGACCAATACAAAGCTTTCATACATAATGCTTAGATACCAAAGTGACAAGTGATTAAAAATGCCATGGATACAACAGTGGGTCAGAGCTGCGAAGTGCACTGAAAACAAGGACAAGTTTGAAGTTCATGCAGAGGAAAGGTAAGTCAGTAGAAGGATTCAAAAGGGCATGACATGATCAGAACAGGTGAGAAACATACATCCATTTATTGGTTAACTTTTGGTTCATACTTCGAAAGTTATCTTCAAAACGACCGCTTAGCTACACGAACACAATTAAGCAGCAACTTCAGAGCAGATGATTGAGTGGCTGCATAATATGAGAGGCCTCACATGGATATTTATATAAATTAATTGTGACACTATTTAAAATGCATTTTATGGTACATATATTTTAAATTAAAACATGGTCAGTTAGGTATAAAGATATATATGGATGACCATGTACACACCATACTGTATAACAGATGGTATGAAACATGCAATGCAATTGATATATGGAATATGTTTTCCATCTGGGTACACAGAACACTTTTTTGTTTTATTCTAATCACTAATTATAGTGTATAATAATACAGAAGAACTGTACTTCTTTACAGCTACCTTGGACCCAGATCCTATCCAACCAAGGGCCCCCAGCCCGCAAAATTACCGTTACCTACAATATCCTTTCAAAAGACAAACATGTTCAGTCTGATAATGAACATCTACTTTTGATTTGAGAATTTCCCTTACAATGAAGAAATCATGAAAAAGGACAGTACAGAAACATATGGAGTTACATTGTCCTTTGTTCCTGCAGTTCAGTGCTACTGAAACCTCATTTTTGAGAACACTTTTTCAAAAAGTCTTTAAATATTAGAGCTGAGCAAAACTGGCGTAATCTGTTTTTGTAAAAATGAACACCAAATCTGTCATTTATTATTTTCTCCACAAAATTAATTTTTTTGCATATCAGACAAATGAAAAAAGTCTTCACAATTAACCATGTGCAGACGCTAAAAGCCATTGTCCCACAAAAATTCACAGTTGTGAATTTTTAAGAAGTTGCTGCTGGTGGCTGGTATCTGTCCTCTCTCTCCTACCCAAATCCTATGGATTAGAGAAATTAACATAGCCCCCCCCCCCTTTTAGTTCCCATCTTCACCACTTAACAATTGTTTGAAAATATGAATTAAAGGAGGATCCATAGTTCTGGGCCCCAGGCTGGGAGGGGGCTCACAGACCCACAATATTTGGATCCAAATGTCCAATGTCTAAAGTTCACCATGGTGACTGGAGAGCCAGATGTGACAGGCAGGAAAGCCACAGTTGAATAGGTAATTTTGCAGCCGGGTCCCTTGGTTGGATTGGATCCGGGTCCAAGGTAGTCTTAATCCATTATTGATGCTTTGCACCAATATAACATTCTACTAACATTATTTAATTGTCTCACAATGCCCCTCTGAAATAAGCATCAGTACCCCCTGCTTATAGACCTGGAAACTAAGGCTCAGAAGTTAAGTGATATGTACAACATCACATAGTAAGCCAGTGTCAGAAGCACAATTAGAACTCCGGTTTCTTGACACAAAATCCTATGGCTAATCTATGAGAACACAGTGCCTCCAACCTCACTTCCCTACCAGCCCTAGAAATGTTGGTAATGTACATGAAATCCATACATGAAATCCAAAAATATACAGGATTATAATATCCTTGCCACAGGTAGGCAGGTACCTGTAGGTAAGTATTATTATCCCCATTTTACAGATTTGGAAATTTAAGATCAGAAAGGTTAAGTGACTTGACAAGACACAGTCAGTGGTACAGCAGCATCAACATGGCCCATTGAGACAGAAGACCTTTGTTCTAATCCTGATTCTAATACTGACTCACTGTAATAGCCATGAAACATATCTCTTAGCTTCTCTAAACCTCAGTCTGTAAAACAGAGCTGGCTCATATTTATCTAGTTCACTAGGAGAAGTGTTCTGAAGTTTGATTAAATAATATTTGAAAATGTTATAGAACACACAGTATTAAGAAAAGCTAGTGACAGATGTGGGAACAGAACCCAGAGCAGCTTGTAAGATTTTAGCTTTCTGCTTATCATGTAAATAATGTAGTTTGGGTGGGGGAAAAGGGGATATGACAACTTCTTCTGTCCCCCGCTTCCCCAAACTCACACATGTAAATTTTGGACATTTGGCAAATCGCTACACAGTGAAAAATATTTCTTGTAATATTTTATATAATAAAATGAATTCATAACACTGCCCTTTTGTGGAATTTTTGCAATTTGAAAAATAGGCAAATTCCACATGTAAAGACCAAGCTTTGCTGCTAAATATTTTAGCTCTATTAAATATTTTGCAAGCTCTTTACTCAGGAAATTACATATATGGGGCAAATAGCTGCACCATATTTAGACTTAGAAATATCATGTGCCACTGTATCTTCTGTGGCATGAACAGCCCTTACTCTTCTAATTTTCTGTACTAATAATTAGTAAAATAAGGAGACAGTAACTCCCAAGTCTGTTAAAAGTATCTTAGTAATCCACATTCTTTGTTATTACAACAGTGCAGAGACATACCAACAACTGCAGTTGTATCATCAATAAGGAATAACTAACAGAAACAACACCATAGATTAAAATCATTTTATGCTAGAGTGTTTGGTGGGATTTTTTTTAAACAAATATTTTTCTAGAGGATAAAACAACTTCCCCACCTCCCCCCACCCCGACTAATGACATTTTAGCATTTTAAGCTGCACGTTAAATGCAGTTTTCTATAATTAAGTTGGAAATTTGACTTTTTAAAATGTATACCTTGAAAATGGGCCAGAAAATCATCCGTGCATTTTACTTCTTGACAGTAATCACTTTCTGTGTTCTGCAAGGATACCCAGGAGACATCCATGGATGTTTGGTGGCGAACAGTAAAACATAATCAGTCTTCAGGAAGACAGTAAAAATTACTGATCTGTGGTGTCTTACATGTTCAAGTCAATTAAATATGATGAATGGCTACCTCTGCTAGCATGCATGTGGCTCACAGGAGAAAAGGCACTCTGAATGTTTGTTCACCCTCCTCCTTCATATTCATGTACAGATACAGCCTGGAACACAGATGAATGCTCAGAAAATGATGGTGGGGGAGGGAGTAGTTGTTGGAATCAATGAAACAACAGAAATGATGGAAACTTCCCACTGCCAAAAAGAATCTGCTCCACAGTAGCTGTGAATTCCTTGAAAAGATATTCTCCAGTTACCCCCTCCCCCCCAGCCTATGCTGTATGTTCCATTTATGATGCTATACAGAAGTCCCAGAGTTTGGAGCTATGTGCTAAACTCACAATAAAGAGGTAAAAATTCTACTTACCTGAGCAGGTGGTGGTTGCTGTACGTAGCCCTGGGGTGGTGGGGGAGGCTGCAGTACTTGTTGCGATACGGGTGGACCTGAACCTGTAAAACTTCCTGGGGGAAGCTGCTGACTTGGGGATGCCATGACATAACCAGTCTGCTGGCCAGATGGCTGTATAATAGGTGATGGGTAGACAGGACCAGAAGGCGACTCGGGGTTCTCTCCTGATGACTGACGACTTAAGCTCATCTGGCTAAATTGTGTTGTCATGTCATCTCGCTGTGGGGCAAAAGTCAGTTGAAAATGATCAACATGATTTTTGCAGTAGACATTTGAAAAACAAAGAGCCAGGTTCTAAGAACAGCATGAGAAGCAGGTGAAAATAAATTCACGCACCACCAAACAACTCAGAGTAACCAACAAAAATAAATAGAAAATAAAAATAAAACACTGAAAACTGCTTGAAAAATGCTTCCAGACTGTAAGGTAAATTACACCACATGGAGAAACAGCAGCTCCTCATTGGTTGGAATTCTTTAATCCTACCCATATTCTAAAGACTAGTGAACTCTAATGCTTTCAAAGGGACACATTTTGAACGGAAAGGACATAAGCACTACTTTGTAATTATGGGTTCCCCTCACAAACACAGTATTCCTTAACCAAGGATACTCTAATAACTAGAGTTGGGATTTTGTAAGTATCCCAAGGGAAATTCAGTGTGATTGAGGCACCCTTGATTCCTTTGAATATCCCAACCCATACAGGATAATAGAATATTAGGCAAAAATATGTAATCTGGAGACTGAGCAGTTTGCAGCTCTCAACTGCTAGTTAAAGACTTTTTATGCAGTTGGTTTTAATAAACATGTAATATAGTAGTCTTAGGACCACCATCTAGCTAGGGCAGGGACCAAGATACCAAGCAAGCATAGAAGGTGAAATCCAGGCCCCTAATTAAATCAATGGCAATGCTTCCCTTGTGTTCAGTGGAGCCAGATTATACCCTTAATGTGTATAGTGGTGTAAAAACAGCATCAGGCCCTGACCTTATAAAATGATCCATGTGAGTGGAGCGCTGTGCCTGAGCAGACTCCTATTGCCTTCAATAGGACTCTGTGAGGGTTCAGAGTGAATTTCTAAACGGGTATTTAAATGCCTAAGCCCCAGTGAAATCAATGGGAATTTGGAGCCTAAATACCTTTAAAAATCTGGCCCTAAGGGCTTTGCCTACATAGGTCCATTTGTCTTAACATTTGCCTGCATTCTGGAGGTAAACAGCCTGAAGAAAGCTTCGTTCCATTGAGAAATAAGAAAATATTATTATTGCATTGTGCATAAACATGCAGACTGTGTTCCCCAACTGCTTGCTCAGACCTCGTTACTGAAGAGGGCAAACACCACAAAGAATTTTTTCCCCTCAAACAGTCCTATGAATTTTTAAATGAATTTGCTTGGATTGTGTTCATACCCTTACTATGTTCACTCTCCAAAAATATTCTAGCATAATGCATTCACTGGCAGAGCTTTTGAAAAGGACGTGTGAATTTTTAAATAAATACACCAGAATATTTGCTGTAAGCCATTTTTCAAATTCACAGTCACAGGAAATGTCATTTTTTAAGGTTTACACTAATTCCATCTGGGAACAGGTATCATGGGCCATCATTCTCAAAACTGTAGGCCAGGATCTGGTCCTGTGTGCTTAAATCCAGGCTCCTGCATCCATTCTTAGGTACCTGAATTAGTTGCCTGAATATCAGAAACATGGCGCACCCACAGCTTCCACTGCTTTGATGGCAAATAGTTTTAAACAAGTAAATTTGGAAAAACAATTATGACAACTCACAAAGAGAAAAATGAGGAATTCAGCTAATAAATTAACAATTATTAATCTACCTCTACCCATTTCTATGAATGAGACACTATGAAACAGATGGTCACATACTTGTCATGGGAGCTAGCTGGGACACACATCTGCTATGCATGACAACAATTTTTCCACAGGGTTTCCAGTGTGTGTGGATGGGTAGAATAAGCCACTACTGAGCCTTTAAACATAGTGCTTTTCTCCTATGTGTTAGTAGTACTATTTGGTCCCAAAGGCATTATTCCATTTTGTTTCTACCTTTTCACATGACCAGGTGACATCAGCCACAAATAAAAATGAGAGAGAAAGACAGAGGACAAAAGAATCCTGTACCACCTACTAAAATGTCAGTTTCATTCTACAATAGTATAATTTTCACCTTGTAAGCATCAGGCCAGATTCAGACTCCAGAGGTACACTATTTTTATTCTCCATGTCCGTTAGTGCTTTGTCAAGATGCATGGTACACCACATGCCTTTAGAGCTGCAGCTCTTTCACAGATATTCTGTTATCTAAGTGCTCCAATATGATCATGGAATAAGTTCAGCCAGTGGATTTAGAGTACAATGGTTTCTACAGATTCTGAAGCATGTCACACAAGTCTTTCACCACATCCATAAGAGGTTTTCCTCCAAACTTTGTGGACATAAAATGCAAAAGTATTCCAGAAGTGTTGGATAAAAGAGAGATTTACAAAGACCTTAACACAAGTTGCCCTGCATTCCTACACATTGCTGTCAAACATACACATGCTCACCTCAGCCACCCCACATCAACTATCACCACAAAAATAAATAAATAAAATCTGTAGTACCACAGGAAACTGCTGCGTTGGAGAGACTGGCAGGAGATGCTGGGGTGGATAAGAAACAGCTGGATATTGGACTGTCTGGGAAGATGGCTGCAAAGCCTGAACAGGCTACAAAATAAAATGAGACAATAAATACAACACTCCAAGACTTAGATAATAGCAAAACACTGTTATTTGGAACTAAAGCTCTGGTAATGCAGGTGACCTGTCTTCAGGTAAAGACAACAGATCAGTGACTGTGACTTTAAGCTTGCGTTTTGGTCCCTCAATCCTGTGATTCTTTGTTATTGTTTTCTGCTGACTAACAGACTTTCAAGTTCATGAGATACACAAATAAAACCGTGGTTATTTTCTTATTATTAGTGTGCTGCCATGCTAAAGCAAGATGCTATAACTCACAGAGATCACAGGGGAAAAAGCACAGCATATGCATAGATATGAATTTTTCTGTTAATGGCTGATTTAAACTCAGAGTGTTTCATAGGTAGAAAACTAATGATTATAAAGCTGAAAAGTAACAACAAAATTGAGATTATCAAGTTACTTAGAGGAGATGTTTAGATAAATGAAAGAAAGTGTTTATACAGAACAATACGGAGGGTGTTTTACCTAGGAATAGCTTTAGCATTCCTCTCATTTTAGTCTCTCATTTACATGAATCCTACACAAGCTTGGTACTATTCTGCCTTTTCGGTTATAAATTATTGGGAAGAGCTGAATCTTTAAATTGAGGTTATATATATTAGGCCGTATTCTGTACTCAGTAAAACCAGATTAACTAAACTGGCTTCAGTGGCGTTTCTCTGGATTTACACCTGGGTGATCTGGGACCAGAATGAGTCTCCTTAGATCTACATGTGGAAGAATTCTCCATGTGCAAATCCGGACTGCTCTCTGTTCATAAATAGGGCACTGCAGTACTGTCTGTCTATCCCCTTCCCTTGCCTTAAAGAGGGCTCCCCATGTAGTTCTGGGTTCATGCTAACGGAGTAGGTTGATATTCAGCTGGACCAGTCAGGGCCCCCTCTCTGGTCTGATGTATATACAATGATAAGTTCATAGAACCTTAGGCTGCATTTACTGTTTTATGGATTCAACCTCTCACCTCTGTAAAAGCTGAGCCCTGAAAGTTCTCTGGCAACATGACTCCATTCACACACTACTGCGACAAATCTGGGGGACATCCAGAGGCTAGAGCCATTGGACTCTAGATAATGTTTGTGGATGGCTTTTCTTGAGAGATTTGGGGGTAAAAATCTCTCAGACCCATTAAGTGATGTGTGGGAATCTCCATGAAGAAACACTCAGTTTCTCTCATAAAAAGTCCCCTTTTATTCTGAGGGACTGATTTGGGACCTAGAGCTCAATATATTGGCTAGATGCCAATATATTGTTTACACTGACCACGCTGATTAAGGCTTCCAGCACTATTATTATTAGGTTCCAATATTTCCCTCAGTGAGACAGAAGTTATACCAAACTGACTGGGTCCATTATTGAGCCTTCAGAGCTTTGCTTTTGTCCCACATGCGGACCTCAACAGATTGAGAAGTAGAGAATAAAAATGTGACAACTAAACACTCAGCCGTACTATCTGCTTGTACGTATGTTCATGAACCTCCTATTAAAGTCAACGGGACATATCCATACACTATACGGGGAAAGGTGCTCAGGTGCTACATCAGAGAAGGTCATATAATATTTTAGACAATTAGAAGAATAGGGCCCCTAATGCTAAATTAGCTTTAGGGGACCAAATTTACCAATAGTATTATTATTACATCATTATAATTGAGAACATATAATGATCTCAAAGAAAACTTGAAGAGAAACTAACAATCTGAAATTAGAAACAGTTAACAATACAACTGATTTCAGAAGCTGTGAGTATTACAAGGTGTTCAGCAAAAGATCAACAGAGCTATGTATAAGTATCCCAGCCCTTTACAAAATTACATATTGCACCTCTCTATGAAAGAATAATTAGGGCTTTTAGTCACATTTCAATTTTTTCAAATGGAATCTAGAGACTTTCCGCATGTACACCACCTGATTTAATAATCATTTTCAGGATGAAAATCTTTCCACCTGTTCCATCCACCCAGAAAATATTTGATAGCTTTTCTTTTGAGATTTATTTCAAAAGAAAAAAAAAACCACCCTGACATTTTGTCTAGTTGCTTTTTTGAGATTATAGTGCTGCTCTGTGGGGAAGGTAAACACACCCAGCCTTGATGAAAGCTTGGTCTCCCCTTTCAACAGTTGCCATACCTGTGTGACAAGGTGACTTGCCATTTGTTGCTGTGGTTGTTGCACTTGCTGCTGCTGTTGGGACGAAGGCTGCTGCTGAGACTGTCCCACAAGCTGGCTCCTAATTGGCTGCTGGCCGCTGGGAGGGTTATATATTGCAGGTGTACCATCAGGATTTACAAACGGTTGGCCTGAAACAAAATACACTTAATTTGCTGAATACTTTTAAGAACATAACATCCACTAAAAGAAACTAGACAGGCACATATTTAGGAGGCAGCTCTCTCTTTGTACTAATTGATCTTCAACAGTAAAGTGCTCATGGCTCACAATGCTTCCAGTTAAGGCGGCAGCTATTTATATTTGCTGCTGAGCCTGGTAGCATCTGTTAGTTAATGGCACTTTAAGATGTAACTGATCATTTTTCTTCCACCAGAGAGATGTACATTGGATCCCTGAGTGGTACTTCTGACTACATGTTTGTGCCTCAGTCAATACCCAAAGCCTTTTGCATGCAGCAAGAGAATGACAACCCCCAGTGGAAAGATTACGGAGGGCTCCTACTGATCTGATCACAAACACATTTCCGGTTTGTTCTCTCTAACTTCTCAGGCCACGACTGAAGATCCTTAAATGCAGGGGCATAGACAGGCATTAACGGTGAGATCAAAAACATTCCATCATCAGTTTACACCAGAGTAAAGCACAAAATGGGACTAGGCTGATAAATTATAGAGCTGCCGTGCCACACGCAATTACATGAGTGACTGAAAGCAGAGGTGTACATGCACTCTACCGTACAGCTGTGCATGACATAAATGAAACTTAAATTCGTAACTCCTTCACGTATTCCAGAACACGCTTTTGTTACAGCACCCTGTTTTGTCCAGTGCATAAACGAGTGGAAGATTACAAGGACTGTGCCAAAGATGTCCAGATGCTATGGTTAGAAGCTGAAGGAATGAACTTCAAGGATGTACTTTAACGGCTTCATTGCTGAATTAACTTAATGCTGAAATTGCATCCTGGAACAAATATTGGAGATAGAAGATATTCATGCCCATTTCATCCCTATGTAAATGAGATGCAAACCATAAGACTATGCTTAATGCATTGTAGTTCAAATAGGGGGAAAAAAAACCCTGCTAATTGAATGTAGTTTCACATCTCAGAAACAAGGCTCTAAACTTTTGAGGACAATGTCCTAAGAGACTAGAAGAGACCATTCTGGAAATTCACACGCAGAAGCCCTAGAAGTGTCTTTGAATGTATGGGGCAAATTCTTCCCTCCATCATACTGAAGGTAGAACTTCATCCACAGTATTCATTTTGTTTCCATTTCAGATGGAGAGGGAAATGCAGGGGAACTCGATGGCTTAGAAAGCTGATCGTGAAATAAAGAGTTTCTCACCTCAACATCACACGACTGCCACAATTCCTGACTGAAGCAAGGCTGTCTTGCATAAGGTATGTTTCTCTCACTGCCCAGCCAGTCTCTCCTAATCAGCCACCAGCTCCCAGTTCCTCCCACCGCCTGCTCAAGCTGTTCAATACCCATCTGTTTTTCTCACTTCTGACACACAGGATCAGATTTAGAAGTTAACCACCTTTCTGAGGAATGTACCCTAATCTACTTAAAATGTGAATGCTCCAGGCTGCATGCTCGCCATGTGTTTCACTCAGAATGAAGAGGGATACTGACTAAACTGCCTGAAAGAGAAGAGGGGCTCAGCTCTATGGAGGACAACTATGGCATGGAGAGCAGCAAGAGCATGCACTCGGCCCCAACCATGCAGTCTGATCCCCACAAAAGAACTTCAGCAGGGTCTGTGGAAGGCAGAGATGATGCTACAGAGGGGCACTTCATGCCTCCTCACCGCAAGTTTGGGTCCACCTCATGGAATTGGAGGGCATGCTCTGATTCAAAGTGCTTAAAAGGAGATGGGAGACTGGGGGAGGTTGGTTAAGGATCTTCTTTTGAAACAAAAGGGCAACCGCTATGAGAATGCCAGGAACTGATGAGGCAGACAATAAAGCAACCACTGGAACAGTGAAGGAGGTAAATTGAATTAGTATCTGCACAGAAGGGACTTGTCAAGTTAAATTCAGAGATGGCCACCAGGGATAGATAGAGAAGTTCACTAAGGGTAACACCATAGTGGAGAAGTCTAGAGGGAAAGGGGTTCCAAAAAGGAACAACTGGACAGCTAGGAGTGAAACTATGTGACCAAGATGATAGACTCCAGAAGGCAATGCTAGGTTCTCAAGAACAATATCAAAGAAGACTGTTTCAAATACAACACTTCATTCAAGAAAGATGACTGGACAGGAAGAAGTAAACTTAAAAATGAGATTGGAGCATTAGCTAATGGAGTGCAAAATTTTGAAACAGGAAATGAAAAGGAGGGTCTAGTGTTTGACAGTTGCAAACACTGAGGAATTAATTATTTCTCGGACGTAGGGAGCAAGGGATGACGGAGAAGCCAAAGTGATAAGGAATAAGAATGAAACACAAAATGTTTTTAATTGTTGAAGGGATGATGTCAAAGAGTGTGTCAGGAGAGATCAGAAGGAAGATGAAAATGGACTGATGGAATGGGTGGATTGAAGAGTAGGGAAAGCAGAGATATTGCTGCACATGAAAACCTTTCACAAAAATCAATCAATCAATCAGCAAACTTCTTGCAGGTGGAGTGAAGAAGAAAGAGCTGGAGGAAAGAGGGAATACTTAAAAGAGAGAATGAGGATTGCTAACATCAGAGAGGGTGTTGAGACATATCTGGTAAGATTTACAGATCTCATGGAGAATCATCAGACTAGAGACACCATGGTGTCTCTCTGATTATTGTGTCTCTGGATGCTATAAGAGGATCATGTAGTCAGAGTGACTATGCAGTGTGAAAGGAAGGACAAATCTTTAAAGGCCAAGCAGTGAGAATAAAAAAAGAGGACAGAATTGGAGGTAACCAAACTAATAGAAGAAGAAGAAGACGACGACAGAGCTAAAAAGTGATGTTGCACTGTGAAAGAAAAATCTACTCATTATGAGAAACAAAGCTTCCTTTTTCATTTATCTTTTATCTGTTCATAATATTTGATAATCTCTTGTAGTATCAGTGCCTCCTTCTCATGGAAACTCTTTTCTATTTTATTTTAAGAAGATGTAGAGATTTAGGTTCAAGTTATAACGAAGAATTTATAGCATGTATTTTTAAAAAAATTATCAGGCATCGCAGCAGGGTTTATTTTCAACACAAGTGACAATGTGATGTATGCTATAAATCTGAGACTAGGACCTGATTGTTTAAATTGAATTGCTTCTTCTACTTTTTAAAAATTATATTGTAATTAAAAATCAGCTACAGCAACAAACAGAGCAGTCTGTCTAGTGTTAAAGAAGCACAGATATGTGCTAATAAACAAATATAAAATCACATAAATACTATTTGAACAATGTTTTTACAGATACAGACTATCCATCCCCTCATCCCCCACTGCCCACACACACAGTATGTCTGCATGGCAGCTGGGAGCATGCTTCCCAGCATAAGTAGACAGACACACACTAGCTCAAGCGAGCTAGCATGCTAAAAATAGCAGGGTAGCACAGGCAGCAGCTAGGGTGTGTCACCCACGTATGTGCCCAGGAGGTCCGGGTGTGTTTGTACTCAGGTGGCTAGCCAAGCTGCTGCTCGTGCTACCACTGGCTACACTGCTGTTTTTAGTGTGCGAGCTCGAGCAGAGATCACACGTGTCTGTCTACTCATGCTGAGCAGCATGCTCCCAACTGCAGTGTGGCCATATCCACAGAGGGCTCAGTTATGCCTCTGAAGAGGATGAGGCATGCTAAGGAGGGAGGAGCAGACACTGTATTTATATGGTGTTACTGGGAGGTACTAGGCCTGTGAGTGACATAATGCTCCCTGGAGGCTGGGGGGCATATGCTAGGCAGTGAGACTTGCTACCTCTGTACAGCAAGTGTAAAGAGTGCTCTCCCAGAAGAACTCTACCGGCATGCAAGTGTGGTGCAGCTATGGCCCCATCCTTGCCATGCCCAGAAACATGCACACACCCTCTCAGCCGTTACTGTTCCTAGAAGCAGCAGTGGCTGCTCTCACTTGCTCTCCCCAGTCCAGGTGTGCTGAGGTATGTACGAAAGGGCTTCTTGAAAGTGGCCTGCAGAGTACATACAAATGGCTTCTTTCTTATTGCTCAAGAGATTCCAGCACAGTGGATGGAACTGTTAACTAGAAAAGTGTGAGTGAATGACTGGTTTGTTCCCTTTTTTCCTCCATTTATTGCAAGGAATACTTATTTAAAATCCTCCGACTCCCGTCTCCAATACCAGGCTCTCAAATCAAGACTGTAACAGCTTAGCTTGAAAAAAAACAAACATATGCATGTTCAATAATAAGTTGTTAAATTAATCCTACTATATAAATATAAACTTAAAATATTTTTCTGCCTTTACAAATGCTGAAGTATCTTGAAGAGCCTCAAAATGCGATTATCTTGTAAAGTGATTACGGGAAGGTTGGTTTAATATGGTTTTTCAAGCCGATGTTTTTATTCAACTCATCTCTCAGTTTTTTGTCATTATATTGATTATAAAGGTATTTCCAATGCTGATAAAAGGTTTGTGTCTTGGCACTGAACTATTTTTATTTAACATAAAGAGACAGATAACAAACATAAAATGGTGGCCCTCACTACAAATAACATTCCTGAATTAATCATGCCAAGACCTTTGAAAACAGGCTTCAGCTCCCAGCTCTGGGTATAGTGGGAAATAGTTATGCACGGCTTGGTTTTTATTACCTCCTCAAACCAACATAACTCCACTAAAGAGCACAGAATGTATGCAGACCCAGAGCCAGATAATATTTCAATCATTATCACTGATATGGACCCATATCACCAAAGCGACCCTACAGTCCCCATCTCCCAAGCCTTCTTTATAATGTCTGCAAAATACTGTGGGGGAATGAAAGCAAGAAGTTGCTTAGACTTCATCTGAACTAAGGACAAGTTCAACAACTCAAATCTGAACTCAAATGTTTTTGAGGTTAACAAATGTTTAGATGAACTTTTATGCCCATTACTTCATATTTCCTTGTGTGCCTCTGCACTGCATAGTTCCAGTTAGAAGGAGAAGTGGAGATGCCACGATATGGAAGTGCCTGTTTGCACACAACTTCCAGTTTAATTATACAGACCCAAGCTGACCAAATAGCTTAGGTAAGAATACAAACTCCTGATCCTGGGAGATGCTGAGCGCTCTCCATTGCAGCCCCAGTGGGAAGCCAATGGGAACTGACAGCGTTCAGCACCCTGCAAGATTGGGGCCTTATTTTATAGCGGAATCCTATGCAATAACATTAAAATGGTTTCTTATTGTCTCCTATCAGCAATGCGGCAGCGTCTTTGCAAAGCCATCACATATTTTCTCACCACTGTAAAAACACGCAAACAAATCTGATTTCCAAACCAAAGTAGATATTTCCCCACTAATAAATCACGGCTAGCAGCTGCTGCGTTTCCAGGTACTGGTAACATTCTATTTTTAAAAAGAAAAGGAGTACTTGTGGCACCTTAGCTCATGCTCAAATAAACTGGTTAGTCGCTAAGGTGCCACAAGTCCTCCTTTTCTTTTTGCGAATACAGACTAACACGGCTGTTACTCTGAAACCTGTCACTCTATTTTTAACACATGATGCTGTTGGCAGTGTTCCCTAAAAAGCAGTGTAAGATGGAAGAACATCAGACTGACCTGTGTGTGGATTGAGGAGGATACTGCCAGGTGGTATCCCTGCAGCTTCAAGTGGAAGTATGATATAGCTGGTGTTGCTTGGTGCTACCTGGCCATTCATCCCATTCTCTGTATAGGAAACATTGCCTGAAGGGCTGGCTGTCACTCCAGGGACAATGGATGCACTTTGGAGAGGCTGATGTGTTCGTGACAGTGATCCTGAGGAGCCAGCGCTGCTGGAAGACTCTGAACCTGAAAGAGATACAGAATCTCAGTTATGAAGGAAGTTCAGACCCTCCATTCAAGCTGTAACTTACACTGAATGAAACTTTTTAAAGATGTAAAGCATTTAGTACATAATCAGCCCTCTAACCCCTCAGGGCTGATGGTTCCTTATGATAATACACTCTCCAGCAAGCTCAGTTTTAAGCAGGACTATTGTGATTCAGCCCAACCTGAAAAGTCTACCCCTCCATAAAAAAGATAATGAACCAGTAATAGAATACATGCTATTCGATTTTCTTTACAGTCATGTTTAATCATTCATAAAAGACACGCACACTCTGCCCAAAAGGACAAAGTTTACAATTCCATACGCAAAACCACAAGACACCACCAATTGAATACACAGCTTACTAACTAGTCTTACTAACCAGTCTTCCGTATTCACTGCTAGATACAGTTATACTTTTAGCAACTTATTTGCTTTTTCAGTACCTAGCCTGTTAAAAAGCTTCAAGCCAATACAAATATGGTAAAACACAGCCCAGTGAAGCTCAGATGACTAGAGTGCAGGTGGTTTAAAAATTTACAATGTTCTGAATACAACTGTCCAATCTTTTATGATTTTACTTAGACAATTTTCCAACATTTTGATACCACAAACATACACAACCTCCTTCACAAACAAATTTGGATCTGCAATTTCAACTCTACAAAGGGAACGAAGAAAAGAACTCAGGATTATGTTCCATCAGCATTTTCCTCCTATATAGCTTTTACATTTGGGATCAATCATGTGGGCTTAGTACTAGGTTCCATAGCTTCCCTGAATCATTTTTCAGTGTTGTTCTTGCCTGGATCCATTTCTTTGTTGGTAATTAGACCAGGCCAGTTTTTCACTGAAACTGCAGCAGAGGTAGTAACAGCATGTAATCGGTCAAATCTCCCTGCAGTAGCTTTTGTAAATATAGGGCGCCTCTGTGGAGTCCCTGTTGTGTAAAATCTGAGTTACGTTTTCATCAAGGTCATCTTCATGCTCACAGCAAGTTTCAACATGCATAACTGAATGCAAAGAAAGAAACAATCTTTCTGAAGATTCCAGTGACTTTCATTGGACTGCAGGAGCACAAAACCCCCTCTTTTCAAATCAGTAGATCAATCAATCAACCAACTAACCAAGAGGCTAATGGAGGTTGTAGAAGAATTTCCACTATGTATTCTGAGACTGTGCCAGCTATTCCTTTCCCAACAAAGGTTTATACAGTTTGTTGAAAAACTATACATCAGAAATTTAGGATGTTTACTCCTGAGAAGTTCTTTCATTTTATCTCCTTGGATGGGAGAATTCTTGGATGGCACATTCAGCAGCTTGAAGACAATATTCTGCTCATTTAGGTTTTTTCAGATGTAGCTTCAACAGAATTAAGCAGGAATGTATTTTTCTTTGAATAGAATATGTAGAAATTATCAGAGCTTTTCCCATATATAGCCACCTTGCATTCATTTCAGTGTTGATTCTTTCTTCTAGTTCTTGCTTTACGTTTTTCTTCTCTCCCCCCACCCCTTTTAGTATCTCATAATGGATCTGTAATGTGAAAACTATTGGGAGGTCTCTATCAAAGAAAGTGAATCAAGAGATTTCTTTATTATTACTAACAAACATTTAAGTGATGCCCACAGGCCCCAATCAGGATTCTTTAAATTGCTTGTTTTGTGCTACATTGAAGGCAATATGGTTCACGTAAAAGAAGACAAACTTTTTTTATGAAGTTCAGGTCTGTGTCTTTCAGAAGTTTTTATGACATAATCACAGATTGAGCTTTACCATTTTGGGAGTGTAGAAGAATAGAGAGTTCTCCTGTATTAAGTTGATATTGAAGAACTCCTGGAACAGGCTTGGAACAAGCACTTAAGATATTGTGACTGCTACATTTCAATTAAGATGATGGTATTTAAATTGGCTCACTTGCAGGATCATCAGTGATCTGCTCTTCTACCTCAATAGTTTCATTCAGCGGCACAACCGATCTTGAACAAACAAACAAAATTTCTGAACCTTTGGAAAAGAGCATTAATCCATTCCAATATTTTTACTTACCAACTCTTGAGCATATTTACATAACACTCTCTAAGCCTTATCTATTTTCATTATTTCTTCATTACAATGAATTATTTCCTTTCATTTCATTCAACGCTAGCCATCCTGGGTCAGTTAAATTCAAAAACTGATGTTTGGTAATAAATAAAAATTATTTCCCTTTTGCTGTATTGGTCAATAGCTTTCACATTTACTACAGTTAGAATGAAAAACAACCATCTAATAATTTGAACATTCTGAAGACTGGAAAAATAATACTAACTCATCAACCTTAGATGGAATCATGTTATCAGATGACCTGACCACCATCCAGAAGTTTTGAGATTCTAGCAAACCAGACCTTACTGATCCAACTCTTGCCAATCATCAATGAATTCACCTTTATACAATTCCCTTTTAAAAATGTTTATAGAACTATCAAAAAGCATAAGATTTCATAATGGGCATAAAGAGAAGCTAGATGTTCCAATCACTTCCTTATTAACATATATTTGGATGAATTATGTTCTTAAACGTAGCTCACAATGATATTGAAGTTCAAAAAGTAATGGCAATGGGGAAGAAACAGGAAAAAAATCTAGTAGTTTCTGTTTTGGAGGGATGGGGAGGGGGGAGTCTGAAGAGAAAACCTGGCAGCTTTCTCCATACACCTGGTTTTAAATGACCCACACAACGAGGCTCCCCTCCAGTTTCCCTGAGTGACTATTTCACAGTTCATTTGATCTTACCATTTGAACTCCTCCCCCCCGCCAATGTTCAACTTAAATTTTCCTTTGCTTGGTTTCATCTCTGTGTTCTTAATTTCACCTCTTGGACAAGCCTAATTAATTCTTCTACCTCCTTGTTGTTTACATCCTTCAAACATATCTCTATAAACAGTGAAAAATACTCCCTTCCTTACCAGCTGGCCCATATAATTATCCATCATAACTTGACTTAAGGGGCCAATTTCTCAGCAGGGACACATTGCTCATCATTTTTGTAAGTACCATCCTCTTAGATACATTTTCACAGTACCAGAAAAATTGATTTGCTAGTTTTAAAAATTTGTTCCACCTAATCATCATTCGTTTTTATATCACTTTTATCACTTTGGTATTTAAGTGCTGCTTGCTGTAAAAGCGATACCTGTCTGCAGCTTGCATTTCTGGAAAGAGGAATGATGCTTCAGCATGGTAGGCTTGCAGGTGCCCACACATCTTCACTCCCGAGTTTATTAGGGGAAACATTTACCACATCACCTTGACTCGAGCAAATCATAAAGAAGCAGAAATCTAGTTCCAAAACCAGGCTGCTAAATCATAACATACAGGATTCTTTATCAAAATGGTTAATGTTTTTAAATGCCTGCAGCATAGATTGTATTTGCCCTGCAGGACCTATAAAGAGCACTCAACAACCTGGATTCGATTTTTGATCCCACTTATAATAGTAGAAGTCTGGAGTAGCTCCAATGAAGTTAATTGGCACTACAAATTTACTCAAATGATTGGAATACAGCCAACTGTTTGTAAATGGAGGAGGGGAAGAAATAGATTTCAACCAGTGTTTATCCTGTACTAGTGTAAAATCGAAACTTTGCACCATAAAGAAGGAAGCTAAAGATAGATTTGGTTTATGTCTTCCTATTAATAGCCAATTCTTACTTAATTAATATGCTACATATATATAGATATAGATAGAATGCATGCTTGGTTTTCTTTTATTATGACTTAAATAAAAATGATTGTAAACAGTAAAGGAAAAGGTTGTCATCATACTAAGAGTCACATTTTGCCATCACAAGTATGGATGGGAGCTGAATTTCTAGGATAGACACATCCACATGCAAGGACATCCATTTCACCACAAATATGCATGCTTAGACAATCCTGAAAAGAAGTAATTTATAGTATGGAAGTCTAAACCAACTGAAGATGTGGATGATATCATAAATTGCAGGAATGCGGCATGAGTAATTTGTTGAATTACTAACTCCTCCTCCCTACCCCCACAGTATCGATGAATAGCTCGAATAATTTATCTCTCAATATACATTATGCTTCATAATATATAAGCAACAGGTAACATGGTATTTGCAACATACAAACTGTGCTTTTAAATTAAAATGGATTTTTTTTTAGCAAGTGTCACAAGCACAGTATGCAATGAACAGTAAAAAGGGAAGTCAGCCATGTCATGGATTTAGAGCAGCTCATTTCATTCTGAGAGTACAGCACCATCATTTCTCTGCTGATTTTTTTTTTTTTGCGCAATGGAGCACAGAGAAGGGCATGTTCTGTGTCCTATGTAAGGTGGGACCAGATGTCTGAAGCGATACAGAAAAGAGAGTAAAAGGAAGGCCAGAAGGGACCATCAGATCTTCTAGCTTGACCCCCCTGTATATTACTAAACGCCATTCAGCCAACCCCACACCAAGCCAATAACCAGAAATTAGACCAATCAGGACACTAAACTATTGTTGGCTGCTATTATACTATTGCATATTTTCTCCAATTATCTCTGAGCACACACTAGATTTAATTAAAATCTTGATATTTTTCCAGTTGAAGTTATTTGGTTGATAACACTGTTATGGCATCAGGATGACTGTCATGCAGTCTTGCTTAATGCTCACCAGTCCTTTGACCTTTTATCTTCTTTTAGTTGATGATGAACTGTGTGACCTATCACTGAATGCAAGCTGGCTTCTTGTATATTGTACATAAATGAAAATGTGCTACCTGCATCGATAGAAACACAGAATAAAGCCTTAAATGTTTGCTGAACAACAGCATTTAGCGATTACTCCTGGGGGAAATCTGTGCCACTCTGCAATGCAGAATTTCATAGAATTTCCTGTTTCCCCTGCAGAATTTCTGATCACCACTAGGGGCTTCTGGACTCTGCAGCGCCCATTCTCCCGGGGACCAGAGAGGGCCTGGGAGACCCAGCTCTGACAAAGTGGGAGGAAGGGCAGGGACGCACCACACCATGTCCCCTGACTGGACAGTAAAGAAGTTGGGGGGAGTTAAGGCTCTGGGGGTGCTGGTGTCTGGGGCTGTCCTATGGCTGGGCTCTGTGGGGAAAGGGGGGGCTGTTGTCTGGAGGCACCCATCCAGCCCCCTATAGCACCCTGCAACTGGAACTGGATTGTTGTAGGGGTTTCTTTAATGCTCTACTCCTGGAGGAATCTTTTTTGCTGCTGTCTGTATTGTTGACATACTTGTTGACAGGTATTATGAAATAAATTACCAACATTGAAACTGGAGTGTTTACATTATGTTATTTTGACAAATAAAGTATGCAGAATTTTAAAATATTGTGAGCAGAATTTTTAAATTTTTTTAGCACAGAATTCCCCCCAGGAGTAAGCTGTAAGCAATATTAGTAGTACTCCCAAAGATTAGATTACAGAATACTGAAAATGCCATGGCGAATATCACTACATCAAGTGGTAAAAATAAAGTTTTAATCAGCTAGTCAATAGGCCAATAGTGTATGCAGGCTCTGACAGTTGCATGAATCCACATAGTGTTGTTTGGGGGTGAGACAGCAATATACTAAGGTGAACTTTTCCATTTTTTGGAATGGTCATTCTCAGCTGCCATATTGCCATAAAATAACACTTCAACGATAACATCTGAATCTTTTTTCCCTGTAGCCTTATTTCCCCTGACTTTCCCAGGGTGACTGACAGCTTCACTTTATATCGTGGTTTTGAAAGTGAGAGTTTGTTTTGACATCCAATATTGCTCTTTCCCCCCACTTTTTTATGTCGTTTCTTTTTCCTTTCCTGTGGCTTGACAAGCTTTCAAATTGAAACACTTAGAAATTTTTTTTTAAAAACCTAAAACCTCCAAAGCACTTACAATACCTAATCACTCTGCAAAGAACATGGTATTTTAATACTACTGACGTGTTTTAAATGTGTTATAAGAGCTGTCATTTGAAAGTGGGGATTTAGTGAATATATGGTGCAGATATATTTAAAATTATTAGAGCTCCTCTGGGATTTTGTTTTTGTAAGTGCATCATTTGATAGGAATGATTTCACCACTAAAGGCTATTTAAACTATTAAATCTTTTGCAGTTAGCATGGGTCCAAATCCACCAAACTGGATTTCCCTGACTCTGTTCAAGTGCTGTGTGTCTCTGCAGCATACTGCTGCAGAGAAATGCAGTCAACACAGAACTGTACTACAGATTACACTGGGCAACATTAATTTATGCAGATTGGGCTCGATTCTAAAAAAGATGCAAAAATCTACTGAAGTCCTTGGATCTATCTGAGGATCAGGCTCACAATATAGTGTGTGCAGCACCGTACAATGCATTTATCATTCACACAGGCTGAGAATGTGGCAAGTATTTTCAAAGTCATTAAAGCACGACTGAAGCAATGGAGCTCCCACAGATACTAACTACATATGCATGACTATACAGGGCCAGATACTATCTAGATATGTATGACTATATTGGGCCAGATTCTGAGGTCTTTATACAGGTTATATTCAATTCATAATTCAGAGGAATTTTACCTAGAGATAAGAACAGAGAAAAACTGAACAAGAATCTCAGGATCTGGCCCATAAAAAGCACAACCTTCACCTGCCACAGGTTTTAAAAGCCACCTGAAACCAGGGGCTTATAAAAATGTATCTCAGGTTCCCAGCCAGCTTTATGACCAGCAAGTTTTAAAGGGACTGCATTCAAACTAGTGTTGCTCCTTTAAAACTGGTAGATAGGTAGACATGGCCAAAACTCTTCACTGTACTTTAGACCATGGAGATGCTAAAATGCAGACTCCTTCCACCAGTCAGATGGGCTTTCTGACAGATCTCCACTGTGCTCCTGGACATGGCACCCGAAGTGCAGAAAAGAATATAGTACAACCTCAGGGGAGATAAGTGATGTTTGGCTATCCGAGGTCTGATGAATTGGGGTTAATTAACTAAAGGTCTGTAAAGCACTTTGAAGCTGAAAAGCACTAAGTGCTAAGTATTGATTGCTATTGGGATTGTATTGTGTTTATCACATGACCCAAACTGAGGAAGGAATCTGATGGGCTGATTATTTATATTACACATTTATACATAAATATAAAACATATAAAAGAGCTAAATGGCATGGTTTGGAGTTATGTGGACCAATGCACCATGACTCACTTTTAAGTTATATAACTGTGAAAGGTAAACACAAAAGCAGGAGAACATGTTTCTCAAATTGTCATTTCATTTAATTGGAGCTACAATATAAAATGAAAACATTTCAGAATCCAAAATTTGCATTAGCTTCCATTATACTATGTGATTCAACATGAACGAGGCAGACTGGCAGCAGACTATCTGCAGAGGCTCCAGTCTGAGAAGCAGATGGCCACTTCAGAGGTCTGCGTTTCAGAAAAAGGGCTTTGGATTTTTGAGTGGGGCCAAGTTTGACAACATTCAATTCTCTGTGCAATACCCAAAAAAAAGGGGGTTTTCTTTGCCAGAAAGGACTATCATCTTCTAATCCACAGCAATGGCATACAGCATGCAAAAAGAATAAACACAAGTATTGTGCCATGAAGAACAATGAATACACAAATCCACTTTGCATAGGCTTCTCACCCCAAGCTATCAGGATTTGTGATTCATATTTAAAAATTAAACACTCGAGACCCACCTACAATATACAAACATGCACACATATGCAGTACTTGCAGTAAGTACATACTCTACTTGTAATTCTTAATACAGAATGGCTGCAGAAAAACACAATCATACTTATTTCTCATGGCAGACACACAAACAGTATGAACCCAATACAATAGTAGCTACCTGTTTTACACAGTTTGCCGGTACTCCTGTTACTTGATGAGCTTTCTCCTCTTGTCAGAACAGTTATTCCACCAAAACTTGCTGTCTTTGTTATGGCTGGCTTTAAATTGCGATTGGAGCTGTCGGAATCTGTGCTGCTCCATGGCCTCTGGTGGTCTGTCCATTTCATTTCGTTCTCTGTACTGCTTTGCCGGCTGCCAGATGCCTTCCCTGTGCTATCTCTGTTACCCCTAGAGCACCATCAGAAAAACAAAGATGCATAAAAATGACAAACGTATTGGCCAAATTCTGCTTTTGGTCACAATGGTGTAACACTGGAGTAAATCCACTGAAGTAAATGGGATGATTCTGGATTTATGAGTCTAACGGAAAATGGAACCTGGCTCGACATATAAACACGGCCATACCTTTCTTTGTATATAACACTTATCACTTTGTATGTGTGTGTGTATATATCACTTCATCAGAAACGTAGACATCAGAAGAATTACACATGCATCTGACAAATGTTTTACATAAAAAGTGCTAGCCTTCTTCATTGACTCTGAATTACAGGGAAAAAATGGAGATAATATCATATCATATTTAGAGATTCAGCAGTTGAATAAAACAATCTTCCCCTTACATCACCACATCGTGAACACACAACAAAAAATATATATATAATGTAAATGAAAAACTGAAAAGCAAAATTACAAAAGCTGCAGTAGAATCATTTAAACAATACAATCTTTTGGATTCAAATTCTGGGCAAAACTATCTTTTCAGTTCTGCAATATTCTGCTAACTCTACATGTATAGAATTCCCATTGACAGCAACAGGATTTCCATACTCCTGTATGGACTTTAGGAATCCATCATGCAGGTCAGAGAGAATATTGCTCTGTAGCACCTGTAGGGAAAAAAATTGCAAAATGTAAACCCATTTTAAAAAACCCTGCCTGATGCTGTAAGATGCTGAATATCCTCAGCTCACAATTTCATTGGAACCAAGGGCATTTGTCATGTTGCAGGTAAAACTTGGCATCTTACAGGATTGGGACTTTATTGTCTGAAAAATGACAGTTCTCAAGCTAACCTGTCCTTAAAAACAAAACAACCTGTGAGAGAAAACACAAATCTGTCCAAAATTGAGACAACTATATTGGACCATCACTACTCCAAGTGATTCTGTGAAAGTGGTGACAATACCTCTATTTTCCCTGTCACTCACACAAGACTGGACATAAGCATGATGATGTGCTGTTTTCTCAGAGCCAAGGCATAAGATGTGACCTTAAGACTGGAAAGGCTTCTAAAGTCAGCGGGCAAGGACCAATGGTGATGGGGTACATATCAGCAATAACCACACTGCTTTACGGGATACCTCACAGATTATAGGTGACTTCGGGGATGATAACGGAGAAGAACGTTCAAGTGATCTTCCTGGAGATTCTTTGCATCCCACAAAGGAAAGAAGGCAAAAGTTCCTGTAACTGAACTCCTGGTTAGGTAAATGGTGTAAAGCAGAAAGTTTTGGTTTTGTGTAACATTGGTCCATCTTCTATGTGGAGAGAGGGCAGTACAGGATGGCCTCCACCTCAGCAGAAGACGAACTTTTATATGCATAAATTCAACTCAGATTGTATTACTGAAATCTGCTGGGAAGATTTGCATGATTGGAATGTTAAAATCACTGGCTATAACCTACTTAAGAAGGATCATGTGGGCAAAAAGGGTGTGAGAATGGCACTATGTCAAAATGGCATTATTTATTTCCAAGTTACTGACAACTCAGAAACAAATATTCTTGTATACTTATAGATCTGCATTCTAACAGATAAAGAGCACTAGCTGGTGTCTGCTACACACCATCAAATCACAGTAGAGAATAGGGGATCATGGGGAACTTCAATTTGAGTGATATATGCTGGAGGTCTTAGGCTGCCAGCACTAAAATATCCTTGGAATTTCTAAATTGTATAAATAACAATTTCCTAACTTAGAAAGTATTGCATTCAAAATGGGGGCATTCTATATCAAGACATCATCTTGACAGATAAAGAGGAACTGATCACAAAACTTAAAATTAGTGGTAGTTTAGGTACAAGTGATCATGACTTGATCACATTTATAATGTGCAAATATAGAATATCGTCCAAACCCATAACATATTACACTTGGTGCTTTAAAAGAGTTAATTTCATAAACCTGAAAACAATTATGAACCGATCAGTTGGGAGACAGAATTTAAACAGAAATATCTGACTGATAATTGGGAACTGTTCAGAAACGTTTTACTAGATGCACAAAAAGCCATATATTGAGAAAGAAGGCTTCGCTGGTTAAAAACCAACCTGCCATAGAGGGAGAGTGAAGCAGCTATAACATATATAACATATAGAATACAGGGAAGTTGATAGCAATGAATATAAATCAAAAGCTAGGAATTGTAGAAAACTGACAAGGGAAGCAAAAGGACATAAATAGAAACGGATGGCCAGCAGAGTTAAGGACACTAAGAAGTAGTTTTTTAAAGTATATTAGAAATAAAAGGAATCCCAACAATGATATTTGTCCATTACTAGATGCAATGGTAGAAGTGTTAATAATATTGCAGAAAAGGTAGATGTGCTCAATAAATATTCATGTTCTGTATCTGAGAAAAAGCAAGATGATGTGGTCTGATTCATGTTCTGTATTTGGGAAAAAGCAAGATGACGATGCAGTACTTTCCATTCAAACAGTAAATAAGGAAGATGCTACAGCAGCTACTAATGCTAGAAATTTTAAACTTGCATCTGGATAACTTGCATCCAAGAGTTTTGAAAGACCTGGCTCAAGTGTTCTCTGGACCATTAATGTTGATTTTCAATAAGTTTTGATTCTTTATTAATCATGTCCCATATCAGCTGGAACATTGTATAAGCTTCCAAAGACTAGAAAAAAGCTAATGTTGTGCCAATATTTAAAAAGAGCAAATGGGATGACCTAGTTTATTATAGGCCTGTCAGCCTGACACTGATCCCTGGAAAAATAATGGAACAGCTGATATGGGACATGATTAATAAAGAATCAAAGGAGGGTCATATAATTAATGCTATCAACGTGTGTTTTTGGAAAAAAAAAATCTTATCAGACTAACGATGTCTTTTTGGATGAGAATACAAGTTTGGTTAATAAAGGTCATAGTGTTGATTTCATATATTTAGATGTCTGAAAGGAATTTGACTTAGCATCACATGACACTGATTAAGAAATTAGAAAGATACAAAATTATCATGGCACATTAATTAACAGATTAATAATTGGCTAACTGAAAGGTAAACTGGGAATCATCATCCAGTGTCTCTACTGGTGTCCTGCAGTGATTGGTTCTTAGCCCTACACTATTTAACATTTTTATCAATTATCTTGAAGAAGACAAAATTATTACTGACAAAATTACTGCAGATGACAGCAGATTGGCGGGTGGCGGGCAGGGTCGTAAACAATGAAAGGGACAGGGTCACTGATACAGTGATCTGGATTGCTTGGTAAACTGGGAACAAGCAAATAATATGCTTTTTAATATGGCCAATGTAAATTCATACATCTAGGAACAAATAATGTAGGCATTATTTACAGGATGGGAGACTCTATCCTGAGAAGTAGTGACTCTGGAAAGGGTTTGGATGTCATAATTAGGGCCCTACCAAATTCACGGTCCACTTTGGTCAATTTCACAGTCATAGGATTTTAAAAATAGTAAATTTCATTATTTCAGCTATTTAAATCTGAAATTCCACAGTGTTGTAATTGTAGGGGTCCTAACCAAAAAGACATTTTGTGGGTGTGGGTGTTGCAAGGTTATTGGGGATGGGGAGATTGCAGTACTGCTACCCTTACTTCTGCGCTACTGCTGGCAGCGGTGCTGCCTTCAGAGCTGGGCAGCTGGAGAGTGGCAGCTGCTGACCGGGATCCCAGCTCTGAAGGCAGAGCCGCCGCCAGCAGCAGCACAGAAATAAGAATGGCATGGTGTGATATTGCCACCCTTACTTCTGTACTGGGCGTTCAGTCAGCAGCTGCCACTCTCTGAAGGCAGCACAGAAGTAAGGGTGGCAATACCACAACCCCCCTAAAATAACCTTTTGACCCCCCCACCCAACCCCCTGCAACTCCCTTTTAGGCAGGATCCCCAATTTGAGAAATGCTGGTCTCCCCCATTAAATCTGTATAGTATAGGGTAAAAGCACACAAAAGACCAGATTTCATGGTCATGAATTTGGTAGGGCCTTATTCATAATGGATAATCAACTGTATATGATCTCTCAGTGCGACTCTGTGGTCAAAAAAGCCAATGCCATTCTTGCATGTATAAACCAGGGCAATATTGAGCAAAAACAGGGAAGTTATATTACCTCTGGTATGCATTGGTGCAAGTGCTACTGGAATACTCTGTCCAGTTTTGGTATCCACAAGTCAAGAAGGATGTTGATAAACTGAAGAGTTCAAAGAAGAGCCACAAGAATAATTAAAGGATTGAAAAACATGCTAGCCATAGACTCAAGGAGCTGAGTCTGTTTAGCTTAACAAAGAGAAGATTAAGGAGTGACTTAATCACTTTCTATAAATACCTAAATGAGGAGAAGTTTGATAATAGAGGGCTCTTAATTTATCAGAGAAATGTATAACAAGATCCAGTTGCTGGATGTTGAAGCTTGACGTATTTAGACTGGAAATAAGGCATACATTTTTAACAGTGAGGGTAATTAATCATGGCAATGATTTACCAAGAGCTGTGATGGGTTCTCTATCACAGGAACATTTTAAATCAAGACCGGATGTCTTTCTAAAAGACATGCTGTAGCTCAAATAGGAATTAATTCAGGGAAGTTCTGCAGCCTGTGTTATCCAGGAAGTCTGACCAAATGATCTCACTGTTCCCTTCTTGCTTTATAATCTACAGCGTGTGAATCAAAGGATTACTTTTGACTTCTTCCTTTCCCTTAGCTCACATATCCAGGCCATACCCAAATCCCACCCGTTTCCTCCTCAATATCTCCAGGATCTGTCCTTCCCCCATCATCCTCCCAACCCACATCCCCATAATTAATTTCCTTATTGAGGCATTTGTCACATCCTTCCTCTTTCAGGCCACCCAAACAAACACATTGCCTCTCTTCAGCCCATATTACACCTGTTAGCTTCCTACTTACGCACTGATTTGAACATGTCACTTCCCTCTGCAAACCCCTCCATCAGCTTCCCCTCTATTTAATCAAATTTAAACTTCCTGTCACTAACTTCAAAGGCATATATAAACTCTACCCTTCCCTATTTATCCTCCCTTGTTATTAGTGTGCACCCTGTTCCCACTCCACTGACATTCCCACTCTTGTTTCCCCAATTGTCAGCTTCTCTCACAATCACAAACAGGCCTTCCCTCCTTGAGGCCCACTATGCATGATACAACACCCAAGCATGGCTGCCACCCAAACCACATTTAAATGCCTCTTAAAGACCAACTTCTGCCATGCTGCTTACAGTGATTCACTCTAGGTTTCCTTCCCCTGTCCATCTGCCTCTCCAATCTTTGACTGTGAACATCTTGGAGGTAAGGACTGCCCATTCCTGAATGGCTGCAAAGCATCCTGCACATGGTGGTTGGAACCATAAACAAAAATAATAATTCAAAGTACACTATGAGCAGGAGCAGAAGGCTAAGAGCAGAATTTGACTTATGAATAGTTTACAAACTGCCTCCAAATGAAAACCAAAATGCCTTTCACAGCTGCGTAAAAACTCAAACCAGAACTGCCCACATTTGCATTTTTATGAGTTTCTGACTAGATATTTTTAAAATGTAGTACTTCGCCATTTCACAACATTTTCCATACGTGAAAAGCAAAGGGTGCTTGCCTTGGTTGTTGTTGTTGTTTGAGTATTGGGGTGGTATTTTTTGCTTCCAGCAAAAACAGCTTCTGTTTTTCATTTAGAGAACCTGAGAGCTGTGTCACTGTGGAGGTGAAGGAACTGAAAGATCCAGACAAGTTTAGCATATCGCTCGGCCTCGATCGGAGTCTTACAAGATGCGATCAGCAGTGTTTACTGTCAATTTTTGGGAGACCAAACAATGGGAGAGCACAGCGGAAAGACCACAGATGCAATAAAAGTTAAAAAGAAAAAAGGAAAAGATTTCGAAAGAAAAAATAGTTTTTAAAAAGACTATGTGGGCAAGCATTACTTGATGATTCTGTTACATTCTTCTGCTTTAAAAAACAATGGCCCTCTTGTATTTATGTTTTCGTAGAAGAGAGAGAAATGAAGTACAGCTGTATCCTGATGACCTGAAATCTCATTATCTGCAATGCTGGGTTATCCAAAATTCCTTCCTATCCCGCAATTCCAGAATTGATTTAGAAACTGACATTAATTACTATGAACCTCACTCTATCTGAAGATTGGATGCTCCCCATCCCAAGATACTCAGACAAGAAAGGTTGGCCTGCACTATGGGAAAAAGATAATTTATCTATTGCCTGAGGCAACAGACTGTGGATCTGTCTGTGATGGATCCACTGGCCACACCATCATCCCTTCATTGGCCCAACCTTATTCTACCTTCCTGCCCCGCTGTTTAGGGAGTCCCCAAAGACCTGTATGGGCTTTTCAAATCCTGCACCAGAAACAGTAGGAGTATACATTCACACACAGAGAGAGAGAGAGAAAAGAAATGTCTTCTATTTTCCAAAATCTTTACTATTTTTGCATACTCAGTTTGAGACACCTACTAATAGAGGCCTGATTTTCAGAGTTGTTCAGCACATGCATTCCAAATTATTTAAACTGGAGCTGTGAGTGGTCACCACTCGTAAATATCAGTCCCTTACTAGATGTCTCAACTTGAATACTTAAGCAAGGTGGTAGGGGCTTCTATTGACCCACCATGCTGGAAGGTGTGGAAACTCTCTATGAAAATGTGAGCTGACTGCTGTTGATTCACTGTGACATGTGAAGCCTGTTAACTCCACTATAGATATTAAAAAGAGTGGCTCTCTGGGAAAAGGGAACTAGCATCCAGAACTGAAAGAACATAAAAGAAAATCCTAAACAAAGTACAGCTTGGGGGAAAAAGCCTCACCCAAGCTTTATTAAGTGCTACTTATCTTTCAACTGGCAATAAAATAAATTACAAGAAATAGGGTGAGTTTGGGTGCCAATCCAACAGAGTGAGTGTATACGTACACTACAGTAGACTACACAGGCACCCCAAAATTGCTGCTCCCTAAATTCATGGACAATTTTGGAAATCTAGGTCTATGGTCCTGATCCAAGTCCCACTCAAATCACTGGAAAGACTCCTATTGTATTCAGACTTTTGAAGCAAGACATTCCCAAAGGCACATAGGTGGTATGGATAAAATCAGGATTAGAACTCAGTTGTCCTGACTACCAGTCTTGTGTCCATAATTCCTCTCCATACATACACCTGTATACCCACGCCTATTAAGATACTGGTTTTCCATCTATGAGGACATGGATAAACTCAGAAGTGAAAGTTAAAGTTAGTTGGAAACAAATCTTTAATAATACAAACCTAAATAGCTGTCTTTTCTTATGGGTGTCATTGCATATACCGTTGTCTTCCAAGAGCCTACTGACAATGAAAAGAAAAGAAGATTATGGTAATAGACCTGGGAGTTTTAATGATATATTCAACTTCATGTCTTTAGTGTTAAATCCCATTTTGCTCTTTAGCAACAACTTCTAGTTTTCTATACCCATACTTAAAGAAATGGAGCTAAAGTCACTCCTATTTTGACCTCATTGGAGTTACTCCCAGGATGATTTTTTCCCAGGACGGTCTATTAGTGATGCCTAATTGTTCCATAAAACACATGCCACCAAGAGGCTGGAAATCTTTTACCACTTCCTGATGATAAACAAATTGCAACTCTCAGAAGCCAAAGAAAAACACGTTTTTTTAATTTCTTGAAGAAAATAAACACAGCTATACCGAATAAGACCTTAAAACCCCAACCCTCCTCACCCCAATAATAGCCAATTCTCGTACTTGAGATCTGTACAGAACAATCTTTGGCCAGCACTTCTCAAAAACATTCACAATGCATTTCCTACCATCGAGGATCAGATTCTCCCCTGGAACAAATGGGAGCAGCTTCACTGATTTAAGCAGAGCTGTGCACATTTATGGCAGCTAAGAATCTAGCCCTTCACCTTTGTTATACACAGACGGCTTTTTTGTTTGTTTTTTCTTTTAGTGTCAATAGATGTGTCATCGCAAGATTGTCCACTGGAGGCCATGATAGAGTAATGTAGAATAAGAGTGGTCTCAAATAATAATAGCAACAATTATTATTTCATTATTATTACTATGTAATAATAAGGGTCCTGGTTTTCAGATGTGCAGAGGACCTACAAGTATGAGTGAAGGATATGAAGATGTTTGATACCTCTGAAAATCAGATCCAATAGCAACAACAGAAACATTCCACATTTCTATAAAACTCTACATCCAATAACTTCAACGCCTTTCACAAAGATTAACTAATTAGTTAAATGCTCTCAGCACTCCAGAGAAGTGGGTCATTGATAATCGATCATTACATTGGTATTTTGCTGTTTTAACAATCACTTGTTTAACCTTAAATTCAAAAGCTTTGGAAAACAGCAAGTTAACATATGCTCTTATATCACCACATACCTGAAGACAATCTAAGTGTAAATCCCACTAAAGAGGGAAAGCCCTCAAATAAGTTGGGTCACAAATGAATTCCAAATGAATTCGACAATGAGTCTGAGACTAAGAGCTACAATTTTTTTTTAAAGCAATTTTTTTTACCTGTTTTCCACAAAAAGGTTTTCCTGGGAGCAAACTGACTGAAAAATAAAAAAAAAAAAGATTGAACCAGACGTTCTAGATATGCTGTATTGTCCAATTTTTGCTTGATTTTAGAATTATCTTCCCCATTCAGGCTCAAGGGGATTTTAAGTCATGCATCATTTGCATTTGTAGAAGACAAGAGAAGAAAAAAAGTCAAGAATAAAGTCACACCAGTAAAATAATTCCCATGCATTACAATGTGTTACTTGCAATTCATCTCAGTTTTGAAACAAACTCAGACTTCTCAGTCTTGGGATCAGAAGAGGCTAGATGTATACAAAGTACTGACGTTTTGGAGGGAAACAGAAGCAGAAGGTTCCACTAGTCTGCCTACTAGCTAGCAATAAAGTGACACCAGAACACACAGCTGCAGGGAAGGAGGACAAATGGGAGAAAAGCATGCAAAATTAGTACAGTTCTGCAAGGGAGTGGAGATGCTGTAGTACATAATTTAATTTCACAAACAGGGAGGAAACAAATGCACCTGGTACTAAGAAAAAAAATAAACACATTTTAAAAAGTCCTCTCTAGGAGGATTTAGATTTTGGCCAAGGTGAGAGAGTAGGAAGAAATAAATCCTACTGGCAAGTATGCAGTTCTATTAACATTCCTTAATTTTTCATGTTGAGAAATGAAGCTGTGCTCAATTTCCCATGAATAATTCTCTCTCCCTTTGATTTTTTTCATTTCCTTCCTATTTCATGTTCATTACACCAAGTGCACAGTTGTTGTCATTGGATTATATCTCCATGAGGTACTGAAGAAAAAGACAGATAGTACTTCCACTGAGTTTAAACAAAAGGAAAGAGTGGAAAAAAGGGGAGATCAGGTCCATTACTTTAATAATAATGGAACTCGGTTCATGGAATAATAGCATGCCATCGTCAGGCATGTCAAATTCTAATGCCATAGGAGGTGCATTTATTTAGTATGTTCCTATTTTCAACATGATTGATTCATGACTTGCTGGCTAAAAGCTGAACAGATTTGTGTCGATTCCTGGGCTTCATCAAATATACAAAGCCAAATTCTCTGCTGGTGTAAACTGAGCTTAGCTCTATTGAAGTATTGTGCCAATTTGCATGAGCAGAGAGTTTGGCCCACAATTTAAAATAATGCAGTTATTGTAATCCTTCCATTTAGCATTGTTGTCAGAGTATATTGGGTGAGCATAGTTTGGTAGAAAATGTGTCCGATAGTTCTTATTAATTGTATAGGGTGAGTGGCATGGGCTTCCCAAGCAGGATCCCATATAGGATCCTAACTAAATGAGCAGGACTAGTGGGGTGGATTGGTGGAGAGTTCTTTTCTCTGTAAGGCAAACCCTCAGGATATCAAGGGTAAAATCCTGGCCCCACTAAAGTCAATGACAAAACTCTCATTGACTTTAACAGGGCCAGGTTTTCGCCCCAGGCTGAGGCGCCTAAGTGGAGTCGCATGCCTTTTCACTATGGAGCACTGTGTTCCTTTGTACAATTGCTCCACTCCCTCTTCTCCCATTCTTAAGAGGCCCCTTCCCTAATATTAATAAACCTGTCAAACATGTTGCCCAAAAAGTACATTTTCTTCTCTTTCTAATGAAGATGAAAAGCAAAAGGCCTCTTATTCCAACTCTTAACACAATGGTTTTCCTGTCTGCATAGACAGGATGGACCAAATTTTCAAAGAGGCCTCACTGTCCTCCAACTGCACACACACGAGTTTTGTGCACTATGAGTTTTTGCATTGTCAGTCTGCTAATGTGTGTATGAAGAGGACTACCCAAGCAAAGCTATACATGCCCACGGAGGCCATATTTTCAAAAATTTCCTCAGGAGCATTGCTGCTGTTCATGTCAGGCATAAGGATAAATAAGCACCAAGAATTTACATTTTATTATAAACTTGAGAGATGTCTGTTACCTCTTCAGTATCTTGAAGGGTATCAGTGCAATCTGCATTACAGCCTTATGGACAGATTCAAGGAAAACTCCATTCGTCTTCCATACTGCAGAAGCCAGCACAAGGCCATACAATTCCTGGAATATCCATTTTTCAAGGCTGATGTGGGGCTCCATGGCACAGAAGACAGACATATTTTTATTATATTATCCTTATTATTCAAAATAAGAGGGCTTAAAAGCTTTGGATAGCAATTTAGCTACTAGGAGGTCAAGATTCACTTTCCTTTTCTGCAGAATCAATAACTCTCAATTTAAAGTCCCAAGGAAAGCTTAAATAACCAAAGCACAGCTTTTAAATCACCTTGCTGCCAGCTACAGACCTAAGGGAAGTCAAAACAAATCTAGAATGAGAAAAATGTTACACAAGATTATTTCGTCACTTCCTAAGGACCCTTGCAGTTCCTACACGCTCAAAACTTCCATTCAGGTTCTGTGTGTACTTGATTGTCCTTCCTTCTGGAACCAATATTTTATCCGTTCATTTGCAACCCCATTTTTAGCAGTCACACAACAGTTTTTCTGCAGTGGGACATATACATCACCTCGAACAGCCTACTCCTTCGGTGTTGTCTTCACTAGGAAGAGAGTGAAGTTTTTCACCATGTGTTAAAACCGGGTAACTAGCAGATAGTAATATCTCAGCATGGATAAGGCAGTTTGCAGTTTTCACACGTTAAACTGTAGGCTCCCTACCATTGTTTACCTGAACCTGTTAATACCTGTGTAAACTACAGCCCCATTGTTTTCACTAGAATTGCAGGATGTGCTATGTGGTAAAACACACTTATTTTCCTAGTATGAGATACACCTTTAGTGATGAAGCTCAAAAGCTTGTCTCTTTCACCAACAGAATTGGTCCAATGAGATATTATCTCACCCATCCTTAATATTTTGGCCAATTATTTTTTTCAAAATGCTAACAGCAATTAAAACGTAATTTGGATAAAGAGACACTCATATTCAGAGCCCAATGTATTCTGCAATTCTGCTGCAGTGCAATTTGCTGTAGACCCCACCCATTGTTGCAGAACTGAAGCTAAGCTTTCATTAAAAATATGTTTCTAGTCCTCGTGGTTTAAAAAAATAGCCTTGAAAATGTGAACCTAACATAACCAAGGTAATGTTTTATTGCTGGCAGCCTGAAAGGATTTGAGAAGGTGGGAAGCTCCCCATCTGTCCCAGGGTTTGGTTGATCCTGAGAACTAATAATGGCAATTAAAGTGGCCACATTTAACAATTTTTTTACCACACATTTTAGCAGAAACATCAAATGAATGTGCTTCTCCTACAACCGCAAACTGCTTAGTGTGCTTCCCCAAATGCCAAAAGCTCCAATTGTCTGCTACCCCGTTGCCAAAACCTCCAGCTCCCCGTAAACACCTGATGATGCAGTTATGCATCATCCGTACAAAAATATGCAGCATACTGAAAATGTGGGGAAAAGCATTAATTAAAGTGACATTAATATTGAAAGAATGTCATACGGAATATTGTACAGATGGCATTACATGGTCATATTTAAAACAGTAAAACTTCCAATTTAAATTTAAAATGAAGCTGTGCATAATTTCTAGTATGATGCACGGGAGTGTTGCAGAATGAAGAGAATTTGACACAGGTTTTATGTCCAGCCTGCTGCAGAGTAAGCAGGAGCATATTCATTTATTATTTTGGAGTCTGAAAAGCAGATATAACATCTGCAACGTTTCTAGAGCTTGAAATTCATTTTTTTTCTTTTCAATTTTGTTCAACAAAGTTTTCCCTTGGACTGAAATCTCACCCAAATGGTTTCAATCTGAAACAAATATTTACAATTTGGTGTTATAGCAATCATCTTAGGACACCATCAGCCGTCTGATCTCTGAGCTGCCTTTGGGACACCTCTTCAGACGTACTGTAATTAGAAGTGATGCATTTTAATACATTTTCTAAGGTTCACAATTAGGGTACTAACACAAATTTAACTACAGTGGTGTGAATAGCGAAAAGTAATAAAACTGTACATCAGGCATGTCACTTCTGCACCTCACTTTGTCCATCTACAATTTGGGAGACAATAATGCTTAGGTACCTACCTCACAGATGTGTTGTGAAAACTGATTAGTTAATGATTGTAGAGGGCTTTAAAAAAATAAAGTGCTATATGTAAGTGGCTATATATGGCAGGCAGTCAATTGTGGTCATTCCTAAAATTGAAAATAAAGAATATGCTACAATGTCTACCACCACATATAAATATTTTTACCATGCCAGAGAGGATCTCATCTGTGAAAAAAATGCTCCACTCTGCAGCACAGCTAAGAAATACTTAGTTATTTGCATCATTAGTGTAGCCTGCTGAAATACAGTAATATGATATATTGAGGGCTCACTAATACCTGCAATTAGTAGAGAGAGAACGCAAATGAGTGTATATATGAGAGAGAGAGAGAGAGGGAGGGAGAGATATCTGCATTGCTAACCTTTAAAAAAAAGGCGCAGTCCTAATCCATTGATATAGCTCCTGCCACAAGCCATGCTTTTACTCATGATAAAACCCCTTCTTGGCTAACCTGACAGATCACATCAACCTTCTACTTATGGCCATTAAAATTCTCACCACTTGTATTTGTCTTTCAAACTAAAGGTGAAAGTATCGAAATATACAACAAACACAGCAGCGCATTTTGGGATGAATGCTTAATAACTCAATCTCACCACCTCTTTGACGAATACGTAGGGCCACATTCTCTGCTTCTAGCTGCCTTTATGATGTACTATCTAAGTCACTCTGGCAACACCTTTCCCTACCCCATAACTTGTTGCCATGTTCCAAATCTATCCCCTCTCTATCCCCTGCAGTTATCCGTTTTTAAGATATGCTCCTTTGTATAAAGTTAAAAACAGTAATTCACTTATAGCGGACAAACAAGAGCACAGCCAGTTCTACAATTTATATTGCAGCTGTAATGACATTAGGCTGCCATACTGAAGTGAAAATAAAAACAAAGAGCCAGCTAATACCGGGATTTTCTCAGTCACATGAACAGAGAATACTATGCTGAATATGAGTGCATAATTTCCCCCCCCCAAATTGCATTTTATAATCAGTGGACTACTTGCTAAGTAGCGACATTACTTATCGTAAGTGAAGTCGCAAGTGAGACAATACACACTCACATATTTACAGTATAGTCCGCTTAAAACAAAGACAATCAGAAGAACTCGCAAGCATCAAGCTTAAAAAAAGTCATCTAAAAGCAACACGATTCCTTCTGTGGCACGTGAACAGCTCTAATTTAAAAGGACACCGTCAAATACAATTTTGCATTGTTTGTTTGTTTGGCCAGTATGATTTATATGGGTTTTTTTTATTCAGGGCTCTTCCCATATTCCTTGAACTGGTGAAACCTCCAGTGAGATGTGACATGAAACAGGGAAAGAAGCAGACATGTTCTCTTGGAAGACACTATCCTCAGAGCACCCTGTCTGAGCAGATCCATACATCCAACTGGGAAATTATGGGGTAATATAGTGAACCCAGAAAGTAGGGCAACTGGCTGCAGACAGGACCCAATCAATGTACCGTATTTAAGGAGAATGGGGATGAAGCCATAGAAGTTTAATATTTGCGTGTCTTTATCTAGTAATTTTACTCAATTTTATTTGGTAAACTTTGATTTCTCCCCCCCAGTAAAGCTGGGATTATTTTGCCTCTTTTTGTTTTACTCCCTTTATTGTCTTCCAACATCATTGTTTTTGACAGAAGAAATAGAGTTTCTTCATTAACCTACATTCCCTTTACTACTTAGTCGGTCAGTTCAGCTAAATATTGAAAGGTCATGCATAACCAGTGGCTTTTGATTGTTTTTAATGTCTTGCTTCCAGAGTTGTTGAACTGACAAAAAACAAAACCAAATAGATTGATAGATCTGAGCAAGTTTAAGTGATGCCAAATAGGAGGCTTAAATAAGTTGAGAGTGTCCATTTAAATCACTGCTCTTCTGCTTGCAAGCATTATAATACTGAACAGAATGAACCCTACACCGTGCACACACAAACATTTCCAGAAACAGGAAAAGGCCATTTAGACCAACATGCCTGCCCTGTTTTAGCTGATCTTCCTTCTACCTTCCTCCTTTTTCACTAGAGCTCTCAATCACCTCCTGCTCCAGAAACCAATCTAGGTATCTCTCAAACTCATTTTACACTCTGGTTTAATCACCTTTCACTACCAGCTCCAGCTACACAGTGCAGTCTGGCTGCAGTATCAATGTCAGAGGGGGAGGATACTGTCTGACTACCGATAAAAATATGGCACCAAAGAGGCAATTAAAACAACTACTCACATCTTGTGCAAATATTCTCTCCCTCACTCTCTGATACTCCTCTTCTCTCTCTTCAATTGATTTACTTCGTCTGTCATCTCTAAATGGATGAATTCTGTTTTGCTGAGCAGAAAAAAAAATCAGGATGGTTATATAAGTTGAGCTGTTAAAAACTGCAGTTTAGAAACTGTCAGCGAAGAATAATAAATGTTCCCATAAAAAAAAAAGTATGAAATGGATAGCTTTCAATTCTGAGGGGGAGTGTGAACCACCGTGTTATGCTGGGTACCCTTGGCTTTCAAGCTAGACGCTGCTTGAGAGTGTTCCTAGATCAAGTGACTGAAATAAGGGTTTGTGCATGACCTTTGTGAGCCTGCAGTCCTGAATCAAGGCCTCCTCATCCGATGCCTTTTGCTTCTGACTGATCAGGAAAAGGCAGGGTTTTTTTTTTTTATTTTCCCTATTGACTGTGGGGAAGGAAGTGCTACAGAATACCCAACCATCCATGAAGCCAAGCAAGAGCATAGGAAAACTAAATGGTAGGAACTGATGATAAAATACTAAGAACCCTAAAAGATTACATCTACCACAATGATGATAAATTATGCTTTCCAGAATATTTTGCACAAGAGTTTTAACCCTTTCAGTACCAAGCCTAGCCCTTAATTCAATTTAGTGGGGAAAGAGAGCCATTTAATCCTTTTAATGATCAACATTTTAGACAGCAGTACATGAACACAATGGACGGGAAGACACCCTTCATGAAACACCTTGCTTGCAATTAGATTTTAATTGCAGTGCTGCTCCTTCTCCCACACTGTGTTTTGTGTATATGATCACGCTGCTTGCCTTTGGTCCGCTCCCACATCCATTACTCACTAAACCTTTCTTTCAAAGCCAACTGAGATGCAATGTAGCTGGGAAAGCTACTACACACAGCTGAAGGTGAAAGGAAAAAGAAAAATAGTCTCTAATTAGAAGCAGGAGGTAGAAGCACTCAATGGCTTTGAGTGATTCACTGGAATCTACCACAGTAATGATAACCTGGGTGACAAAAGCATACTCTGTCTTACCTTTAGGAATTTTCTTAGAAAAGCAATGCCAGTGTTACAACCCCTTTTGATATTTTGTTTTGTCATGTGTACATTTTGCACTGGATTTAAATGATTTTATGAACACAATGCTTACTTTTAGCAGGGTATTTTTTTTAAATGCTGAATTTCAGTGGTGTGCAAACACACAGCTCCCTCACACTCTCCTACACGTAATGTGTCAGACATGTCTAAGATAACAGTGCTGGGTCGCAAGCAACACACGGAAGGGAGAAGTTCTGCCACAATACATGCAAAACAAGCAAATAAGTTACATAGACAATAAAATGTGGTTTGGACCAGGGAGCGACAGGAACTAAAAGATTAAACTACTTTTTGAGGGGCAGGGAGGGTCAAAACTTATTCTAGGGTGGTTTCAAAAAATCAACCCGGCCTCACTATAACATGTTTGAAGAATTTTTCCTCCTTTATGGCTATATCCATTATCTTTGGTTCGTACGGATATCCAGATCTGTGTGTACGTAGACATGTGTGTGCGTGTATAACTGAAGGATAAAGCTGGAGGGAGTCGAACAACCGCTAGTCACACAGGCATTTGGAAATGCGACTGACAAAGCCTTCCAACAGCTTGGAACCTTTGACATTCCAACCCCCTTTTAACATGCAGCAAGTCCTGTGCCAAGCAAACCACCCATGCAAACCCACACACTGCCACTGCTAAAGCAGCCACATGAGGGCTTGATGCTCTCCACTGTATGCCAAAGAGGAGGAGTGGGGTGGGGTGAGGGATGGGAAAAGGAAAGCGGAAGGGGGGAGCAACAACAAAAGAACAACAATAACATCAGTCAGCCCACCTTCGAAACAACAAATTTCAGCAACTCTCGAACCGAGAACCAACCTGATTGTCTTCTTTATCAATACTAGAGTTATCTCGCTTCAAGATAAATCGCTTCTGGGATTCTTCACCTTTTTCATCTTTTAAATGTTCAGAAAACCTTTGCTCTGGTCTGCCAGCAAAGTAAAACATATCAATAAAAAAAATCTGCTTCGTTGGGGTTTTTCTTGTTTGTTTTTTTTTAATTCTCGGCGCTCTTTGTTTTTCACAGAGCCACTTAGTGCAAAATTAGTTTATATTTGCTGTGGTTGGGAGATACTGACTACAGCTGTCTGATGAGGTTCTAATGCAGCTAACTGTTATTGCTATAAATATCTTTTGTTGTTGTTATGTAGGAAGGAAATGTGAATGCAAAGTCTCAGTCATTAAGTCACTCCCTCTCATCAACCCCTGTGACTGAAGGACAAGAAATCAAGTTAACATACAATATGTCACTTTGTTCCTTCAGTTGTCCTGACCTCCAGCTAAGCTGCAGCTGAGTATGGCTTACCCACATTTATAAACAAGGAAAAACTGACAGAAATATTTGTACAGAACTTCTCACTCCTAATAAATCAAACTGGTAATTGGGGAGGACCTAGTGGTATTTTGTTAAAACAAATTATTATCTAGTGGCTCATAAACAGGGGGGGAAATATTTCAGAACAATCGCATAGTATTGATTAACCAATTGATTTTAAACTCATCCAGGCTTTTTTTCTTTTTCTTTTATTTTTTTTTAAATGGGCAAATAGTGCTGGCTAAGAGCTTCACATTTCTAGGTTCAGTAGCTGGCGAAAACTGCTCTGTATTCTTCTCCACCCTGTATAAAAAGGAAAAGCTAAGAAGTGTCTCATGTCCTGGAGCTAACAGTTATCAGAATTTGTTTCTTTTAGTGACATTTCATTCTTCCTGATATACTTCATCTTGTGTCTGTTCTTAGCGTCCTGCTTTTGAGTTGTCTGCCAAGGCTTCATTATACCATAAATTGGTTAACAAAACAGGAATACATTTTGTGATGTGATGACAGACTGCTAATTCAATAGCATCACAATTTTGGGAATACCAAACGTATCTAAAGAAAGGGGCTCATCTGCGTGTGTTAATTCTGATAGTGTTAACAGGAAATTTATGTTTGTCACTGAAGAACAGAGTGCCTAGGGATCATACACCGTACAATAATGCATCCAAACTGTGTTCAACACTCCCATTGACATTAATGGATGTACCCTGAGGAAACTGGAGACAGAATTTATCTTCTTATCTTGTCTTTTCAAAAATAAGTACTGTAAAATAATGCCAAAAAATCCTCACAATCTTTTTTAATCCAGATATACAAAACCACCACCATTTTACTGACACACTGTTCAAACTAAAAAAATGAGGAGTACTTGTGGCACCTTAAAGACTAACAAATTTATTTGGGCACAAGCTTTTGTGGGCTAAAACTCTCCAATGAAGTGGGTTTTAGCCCACGAAAGCTTATGCCCAAATAAATTTGTTAGTCTCTAAGGTGCCACAAGTACTCCTCATTTTTTTTTGCTGATACAGACTAACATGGCTACCACTCTGAAGAACTTTTCAAACTAACACTCCATTGATTATAATGCACAGTGTTGGAGTTATACTAGAGTGAAACATAACACATATTTGTGCCACATTACAATTAATTACCAGATGTATAGGAAAAGCTTGTAATGAACTATGATAAATGCAAAACTCACAAGGTGGTAACTTTCCTGACGTCCTTTTATTCATGAATTTATGTGAATTTTGGAGGGCTCCGATAACTTCTGTTCACAGCCTTCATTTTGTGCAAAGACTACAATTTGGTTCAGAAACCAATGACCCGATTTCCAGAGATACTGAGCATCCAATAATTCCACATACCTCAACAGGAGATGTGGCTAATCAGCACCACTGGAAATTGGGTCCATAATATAGAAAGTTTCAGATTCTCCTGGTGTCCCACTTTGTTCTTTTCTGAAGATTTCTGGAAAGTGCAAAGGTGTGTGCTCTCTTGTACAGTTTTCTAATGTAATTAATAGTACAGTGCAGTGATACTGCTTGTAAAGAGAAAGCCTGCCAATGTAAACAGGATATTCCATGGTATATTCTGCCTTCATTCACATTAATCAGTATTATACTTAAATTGTCAGGGGAAGAAGAGACCCTCAAAAATTCTGCTTTAAAATGAGCAAGTGAAAAAGTTCAAAGGTTAAAAATGTATCTTCCATAAGTGACAGCACAATTAAAGGACAAACAGATAAAACTATTGCATTAGGACTAGAGGGAGGGTCAGTGTGGAGCTTATAGTTGTAAATCTACATTTTGAGTGTTTCAGTTTGTCTGTGGTTTACTTAACAAAAGAAAGAGGGAAAAAACAAATGATCTAATTGTATCAAAGTCAAGAAAATCGACTTTTAAAATCCATTTGGTAAATTTCCTCTGTAATTACTGCTTTATACAAATGTCTTATCCATGTAGATTCATACTTAAACATCTTTTAATTCTGTATTTTTAAATAAAATACCAAAAATGAAGAGACCACCATTACGATGAATTAATCCCTTGCTAATTCCACCTCTCCACAGGTCATTTTGGGAAGCATGAGTACAAAATATGATCCCAAACCAGTAATTTCATTTATTTACATATTCATTCATTCATTCTTAAAACCACAAAGAAAATTCAAACAGATTATTTCCTAAATTAAACAAAAATACAAGGCTGACCTATTGGGCCTTGATCTTGAAAGGGGAACTGTATGGGCAGATCCCTGTGCACATGTGGCACCTGACTTCAATGGAACTTCATGCACTGCTGCAGGATCTGCCCGTATGGTTCTCCTTGCAACATCGGTTCCTTGGATGCCAGGTTTCAGCCTAGAATGAAAATGCAGAGGTAAGTTAGAAAATAAAGACCAGAACAAGAATTTCCATTAGAAATGCTGAGGGACAACCTTCATCTCCCAACGGAAACATAGCAACATGAAAAACCCTGTAAGATTATTTAAAAATGCTTCTACCAATAAAATGATATGTGCTTTGTTGATTGTATAGATAATGGGGCCAAAAGACCCTAACCTAAACCAATCTACATGTCTCAGTCTTCAATGAAAATGAACTCTTAAATATACACTTGAGTTCAGAAAAGAACATTCACAAAAAAGGAAGTCCCTGCCCCAAAGGGCTTGCACACTAAGTGGACAATATATAGACCAAAGGCCAGCCCTGTAAGATATGGAATATGGGAATTCTAATGAAAACCAATGAGAGTCCTAAGCACATAGCTTGCAGGATAAGGCTGCCAATGATTATTTCATTTAATTTTATCTACTCAATGGAATCTGGCACATTACTTTAAGAAGTTTTGAGTCAATTCATTGCTCATGGAAGGGAGGGACAGATAACATCATTCTGAATCTGAATGTGGGTAGCCATAGCATTAGTACATTCTGCCAATGCATCTCATTTGGGACTTGAATTGTAACAAACACCTTCCCTTCTCCTTTATGCTCTTTTACACCTGAGTCATTCTGAAGCACACCCTTTAAAATGTACCAAATGGTGGGGTGGTTGTGGACACATGGGAATGAATTTTCAGTTGTGGTATAAGCCAACTGAGTTCAAAGAATGGCCTCAACTTTTGAATTCACAATTTTGCACACTCAGTTGCCTGCACTTGTTCATTACTGCTTGTGAATATTTGGTGTTTTACATAGCCCCAGCATCTGGAATCAAGTGATAATGTAAGAACCTTAACTTCCATTTAAACAAAAAAAGGAAGGGTGAAACACTGACACTATTTAAATCAATGGGAGTTTTGCAGTTTGGGGCTTCAGTGGGATCAAGATTTCACCCTAAGTTTCTAGCCCTAATAGCTGCAGAGAAAAGCTTGAAAACATGACCCAAAATACACCTTAAAGGCTTAGAAATCTGCAGACAAATAAAAAAAATCAAAATGTATTATTCAAAATAAATATCTATATAATTATTTTAACCTAATCACATTTGTTTTGGGGTCTGACTCATTGCTTGGGGTTTGCAATACTGTAAAGTTGAAGAAAATAAGGAAGTGCACCTATACCTTGAACTACTCCTTGAGGAAATTTGAAAGGTTATTTCTTTTTCTGTCATTATTCTCTTCTACTGTAAGACCAAATCAGGACAAGCTGAATCTGATGTACAAACAACATACATACCATACTGACTAAAATTCTCTAACAAGTTCCCTGTAAATCTATGGAATAATTATTTATCTGTTTCATAGGAGACATTGCTTATTTTTAGCTCCTTGACCTTCAAATCCACCTATAGTTCACTATGCAAACAAAGGAATCATTTCCATTCTAAAGGATAGGAAAGTCTAACCACATGAAGGAAAAGACCAAAAAGAAAAATATCTTGATAATTTTTTTTCATGGAAGTTATGGCAGAAAGGGATAATATGTGTACATTCTTTTGTTGTAGGTCTATTATCTATTATGAATTCAGCATATATCAATGAATTTATATAAATATACAGATATACATATACACGGCGATTTGAGTGTTTAAAGATTGACAACAGTGGAAACTGAAGTCCCGTTTACTCACTTTATAAATAGAGCAGGGAGAGTGGAAGCGCTAATTTACCGAAACTACTCTGTTAATGTGGCCTGTGCCTTAAAAGACCTATCTCACATTGTCAAAGGATAATTCTGGTTCCATAACCATTTATTTTTTTGGCACCTACCAAAGATATCAGTGCCAACAAGGTTGTTAATTAATGCCAGGTGCAACACTGTGCAGTCCTGTCTTTCCTATTGCTCCACAGCCTAAAGGTCCTGATCATCCCCACTGTTACAGGATATCTTGTATTGTTGCTTGGCTTTCCCCCCTCTCTAAGCTACAAGTTAAAAACAAAACATACCTGAGCAACAGACCTACTCTTAGAACTTGAAATCAAAATCCAGTGGGTCATCAAAAACCCTCTTGACTAATCAACCATTTGTTTGATTTTTTTCAGTGACTCATTTACACCTTCAATAAATGAGGGTAGTATATTAGCTATATTTCCAATGTATAACAGTTAAAAGTAAATTCTTACAAGAGATGCAGACAAATACATGTAGATTTTGAGAGTATGAAAATGCTAGCCATTTAAGCCTTTGCACATTTTTCTAACTATCTGCATGGTTCTGCTATTTTCTCTTCAACACCTATGCCTGGAATTAATGCTGTGAAGTGCAGAATGTGAAATATTGCTAGATATGTATTATTGCTTGGCAGACACCTATATGCATTTGTAAGAATTATAAAGCACACAAACTTCGAAATTGTTTTCATTATGCTAACATGTTATTTATCATGTTATTTATTCCAGTTGGAACTGGAAAAGGTTCAGAAAAGGGCAACAAAAATTATAAGGGGCATGGAGCGTCTGCTATATGAGGAGAGATTAATAAGACTGGAACTTTTCAGCTTGGAAATGAGACGACTAATGGTGATATGATAGAGGTCTGTAAAATCATGACTGGTTTGGAGAAAGTAAATAAGGAAGTGTTATTTACTCCTTCTCCTAACACAAGAACTAGGGGCAACCAAATGAAATTAATAGGCAGCAGGTTTAACAAACAAACAAACAAAAGGAAGTATTTTTTCACATAACGTACAGTCATCCTGTGGAACTCCTTGCCAGAGGATGTTGTGAAGGCCAAGACTATAACAGCATTCAAAAAAGAACTAGATAAATTCATGGCAGATAGGTCCATCAATGGTTATTAGCCAGGATGGGCAGGGATGGTGTCCCTAGCCTCTGTTTGCCAGAAGTTGGGAATGGGTGACAGAGGATGGATCACTTGATGATTACCTGTTCTCTTCATTCCCTGGGGCACCTGGCATTGGCCACTGTCAGAAGACAGGATACTGGGCTAGATGAACCATTGGTCTGACCCAGTATGGCTGTTCTTATGTCCTTATCTAATTTTAGTTCTATTCTAGTTTTAAACTTTCTGTAAGACCATTGTGAAAAATCAAATACAGCAATGAAATTATGCATTAAAAAAATTAAAAAGACTGAAATGTACTAAGCAAATGCCAATTTAAAAGGTCAAAGATACAGTATAATTTGTCTGAACTTGTCAAATTCTACACAGGCTTGCACATGTATGTACAGGGTATCCAGGAAATACATGTGGTTACATTCTTGTGTTAACATGCATATAAGGAAATCTAAAGGCTTGGTTAGGAGATAGAATGTGACAACTATGTTTTTCATCAATATGACCCAGCACAGGAGATAGTGCATCTAATTTAGCAGCTACAGGATCAGTCTATATGGGTTTACTGCCTTGTCATCTTCCTGCACATGAATTCATTTGATGTTTCCTACAAATTGTCAGGTAGATCATTAGAGGTGTATCTTTCCATACAACCTTGTACACAATCCAAGAAGTTTAGGTCTGGGCAATTATTGCAACAGTATATTAAACCTAAGCGTTTTCATTAGCCAATGGAACCTTTGATCACGATGCTACAAATCTACTCAGAAGTGTTCATGTATGATGTGGTTTCAGTTGTTTAATGATGGAACCTTATACAAGTTATTTTTGCAGTAGACCTTCTTCCTTTAGGACCTCGGAACATGAATGCACTGTTTGTAAAGATAAATTTACTGGACTGGTTTCTCTGCTGGTGGAAATCATCAAAATCAATTTCTACCAGAAGAGGATCCGGCCCAATGCCTGTACTGTGTTTTCCTGACAGTCACTACTCTTGAAGAACCAGACTGCCCTCTCCTGTGGCAAATCTTTAGGGAAGGGACCAAGGGGCTGGCTGCACTAACACTTGATCATCACTGTGAGGTTCCCCTCACAGAAGTCCTCTAAAAGTTTCTGCCAGTGCAGCAAACCTTCCTTCCAGCAGAACGCCTCCAATCTTCACTGGCACATTTGCCCTCCCACAGCTCCCTGTCAGCACAGCTCCACGGCACTCCCGTAGCTATTGCTGCCACCAGGACACACTAGGGGCCCCATGGAAAGTGTAATACAGCTTATTTTGGTACTCCAGGGCACAGCAGAACAGCATAGCATTGGCGTTACTCAGCTCCCAGTTTACCACTAGAGTGGACAGAGACAGCTACATAGTGGAAGTAGAAGTCAGATGCTTCTTTCCTGAAGATGAAAGTGGATACTGGAGAAGTGAGTAGGAATTTGTCATAAATTCCTCAGACAACATGCGACATGGCAGGAAAGAAGGGAAGGAGATAATAGGGAAGAGTAAGGTCCATGTGAGTTACTCTCCATCTCCCTTTCTGCAGATGGTCTCAGCTAAAACTTTCCCAAACTTTTTTGAAGTTAATAGATTCATAGATTCTAAGATCAGAAGGGACCCTTGTGATCATCTTGCATTACACAGACCATAGAACCTCATTATAACTTCTGGCTGAGCAAGAGCACATGTTTGAGAAAGATATCTTGCCTTAATGTAAAGATTTCAAGTGATGGAGATCCACCTAATCTCTAGAGGTAAGTTCCAATAGTTTATTACCCTCACCGTTAAAAATATGCGTCTTATTTCTAGTCTGAATTTGTCCATCTTAAACTTGAACCACTGGATCTTATTATGCCTTTTTCAGTTGCATTAAAGAGACATCTATTCTCAGAAATCTCTTCCCCATGTAGGTACTTTTAAAACAATTGATCAAGTTCTCTCTTAACCATCTCTTGGTTAAACTAAAGAGAATCAGCTTTTTAAGTCTCAAGTGTGTTATCCAGACCTCCAGTTACTCTTGTAGGTTTTTTCTGAACCCTTTCCAATTTTTTAAAACATACTGTTTGAAGATACAGTATTCCAGTAATGGTCTCACTAAGGCTGTGTCTACACTATAGAAACTATACCAG